GGGCAATCGGTTCTGGAGTGGTAGCAAATGATGGATCCTCCAGTTTAATTATTTTAGTTGCTAAGCTAACAAGAGCCTGTATTCCTTTAGAAAAGTAACAACTTATTGTTTCAGAAGAATATTGAAATCTTTCCATAGATCCTCTAATTGATTCATTTTGTGACAGAATGTACAGTGTTATAGCCAACACCTCCCTACACGTCATTCTGGAAGAACTCTGGAGGCCGTGATTTAGGCATAACTCGTGCAAAAGATCCATAAAAATTGGATGGCCAGAAAGCATTTCACCAACCCATTTGTCTCCAACAAAGTTGGATGTCATGCGGGGAATGCAAGCAGTGCTACTCCGGTAATAATCCAACAACAATATCGCAATAGCTGTAGCAAATGTCATTCTCCTACGACGCACAAGTTATGGATCCATCCTAAATGATATAAGATGTAAACATAATTAGTGCATAATAATATATTCCTGCAGCACTACCAAATATTTATTGTTCAAGTTCAGAACATATAATACGCAACTCATAAATAAAGCATCAACTACTAACATGTAGATATGTAGATGGTACAAATATATGAAAAAAATATAACATGATTAGAAGTTCCAAACATTAAAAAAAACGACATAAGTAGAAGTTCATATTTGTCCAACAAATACATATACCATACAAAAAAAAATCACTCAAAAAATCACACCATACAAAAAAAAATCACTCCTCGACCAAAACCCGCAAATATTTGAGACGCAATTCAAGCTTTAGCGCCATGAAAATTTTCATTCGCGTTGAATCCTCAAGTTTTTTTCACACACTGTGCATGAAATTGTTTGTTGGCCATAACTTCAGGAATAGTGCCCAAAAACTTGAGACAGTCTAATATGTTAGCTTCAGATATTGGTGGAGCTGCAAAAGCTTCAATTAAACGATCGAAGGAGGTGCAATCCTTGGCCTCTTTAAAATTGTACTGGACTCCCCCATATCCCTCTGGTTAATGTTATGCACTTCTTCATCGGGTGTCAATGGCTCAGGTGTGATCTCATCTGGTATCCCTGTAAAACCTCTTTCACTAGGGTTGAATGAAAACTTTCCCGTTGCGACTACCCATTTAAATATTATGTCCAGTTTCTCTTCAAATTCTAGTCCAATTTCTCTTCAAATTCCGGCTCTATTCCACACTGTTTGTACTTCTTTGTTGTCGGTACCGCCTGTGGTATAGCATTTAGATGAGATATTTAGAAAATTATAATTAGAGAAAATAATTTGCGAAGCTAACAATTCATGAATTATATATAAATTTACCTCTAATTTTTCAGCCCACCATTCAGTTGGAGCATCAATTGTCCTTTTAATCAGATCCCAACCCAGGTCGGTAGATCCACGTTTCAACTCCTTCCATATTTTCCATTCCTTCTTCAACTGGTCCCATTTGTTTTTAAATTTAAGCCGGTTGTAATCCCTGCCAATTAATTCTTTGAATCTCTTATCAATGTTTAGCCACCCTTCCTTATTAAAATACATTATTATTCTGTTACCCAGTTCTATTTCTTTAATACACAGATCTAGGTACGCGAGTGAGGTTCAATCCGATCTGCAGAGGAACGTAGAGAGGAGCGCCAATTCAATCTGCAGAGGAGCTTCGATCCGATCTGCGGGCGCGAGCGAACATTATAGGAGTGTCGATCGACAGCAGCGAGAGCGTTACGACAGCGAGAGGGTTAATCAGCGAAGCGAGAGGGTTACAGCAACAACGAGAGTGTCGATCGACGACAGCGAAGCGAGTGGGGAACGGGGACTGTCGTCGTTCGTGAGATCTAGGGCTTCCGGGGAGATCGAGGGTTGCGGGGTAATAATCCCACCCTAAACGCCGAACGCGGGGAGCTGGAAGCGTCGAAGGAGGGAACGAAAGTATATAGGGTTTTAACGCTGTGTTCACTGACCGCAGGACCAAACTCCCGAACAAACGCCAACACGACGTTACGAAAATGCCGGACGCGGAGAAGAAGCTGCGCCAAACGAGCCCTAAATGAAAAATTCATTCAGACATCAATTCAAATTTTTCGCCCTGCCTCTCTAAAGCGAACTCTTTTTCTATCGGACTCGGAACATAACAATACGTGCAGACTCTTAGTAATATACCGTCATGTGTATTATATCGGATCCGTCTAAAAAAATATTAAAGCAAAACCGAAAACCCTATAATAACCTCTGTAGTTTCACTTCAATAACCCTGAAATAGCTTCCGCGATATAACACACTGACCTAATCTGCAATTATGTAATTATTTAAGTCCAAAAAGATGGAAAAATGTTAACCCAATTTAAATTCAGCGACTAGTGTGCAAAATAAATGTGTTATTAAATTAATTAATAGTTTACATATTATGGGTACTGCGCAAGTATACGTATTGTTTCAAGTAATATAGAGTTTTCTTTTAAAACCCTAATATTGAACCCACGTGGAAAAAGAAATTGACTATGCTAACTTAAAAGTATTTATACTTAAACTGTAAACTAAATTCTCAGGAGAATAATATCGAACTGTTTGTAAAAGGGTGTAACTAAAGTGGCTATTTCTAATTTAAACTGAAAGTAAATGCAATGTCTCTATATTAAAGATGTGTAAAGAAGTATGATTATAATAAAAAGTCTTCCCCCTTGCAAATAGATTATAAATTAGTGCAGGAATCAAATGATTAAAGATGAAAATGAAATATTGTGACAAATAGGAGTATACCTATTCTTTACCCCTTCCAAGCATAAAGAACATTGACTAATCTAAAGTTAGTTTCAGCTTGTGTGGTTATGTTGAGTAGATTTTAACATATCCCTTTTAGATTACTCATCATGCTCTCTCTATTTAACTAAACAGGGACCTTTAGTTCCAACTTTAGACCAAATTGGTAAAGGATTTAGCCTGTCACATTAGAAACACCAATTCTATGTGTATCAGAACTTATCTCTCTATCTATTTGCACTCCCCCTGAATTTAGCATCCCCTTCCTCCAATGACTAGTGTGGTGTTCACAAGTTGGTGAAATCATGCCCTCTTGGGTCATTATGTTTTGCAGCGTGTTTTAACATCACAAATGACCAATTTGCAAAGTAAATAAAGAACTGGTGAAAATACAATCACAAATTCTTTTAATAAAAAAACTCTTCAAAACATTCTAATCCCACACATCAATACTTTTTATTGCAAGGAGAAAGAAAAGAAAACTACTCAAAAATCATCGGGATAAGAAAACTACTCAGAAATCATGGGGATAATTATATATATATATATATATATATAAACCAAGTTTACAAGATAAATTATAACAAAAGTACAAATACTTATCTAAAACTTCTCCCCAAGCCATCCTCTGAAATTTTATGACAGGACTTGACTAT